TTTCTAACAATAAAGCTTATTTCAACAGCCATTTTAATTTTCCTGGAAAAACAACAAGTTATGTCATAGATTATTATTACTAAAGATGTTTTGTCTTGCATGCAGCATTACCATTTCATTTGGTATTGCAATGTATTGAAAGTTAAGATGCCTGTTTTAACCAGAGACTCATTTCCTTTTCACCAGGAATACTTTTGCTTCCTATTGTGTATACCATTCCCATGATTATAACTCCAACCTAGGAAACTGTTGCTTACAAAATAAGGCTGGATTGAAAACAATAATGAATCAGACAAAAACATGGCTTGCTAAAAGCTCTTATTCTCTGGTTGATTTGAAATGCTCATAACTAAAGAATGGGTCTCCACATCCTGCAAACCCTTGTGTTTCATAGAGTGAACTTTAAAGCGGCTGTTTGACTGTGCAGCAATGTTGGCAGGAGGAGTGCTTGAGTGCACCTTTCCCGGCATTCAGTGCTTGGATGGTTCTTGACCATTCACAGAGGTGCCTGTAGTGCCTTAATTAGAAACAGATGTCCTAAATTAAAAGAATGATTAGAGCGATGTTAGTGGTTCAACTGCTAATGGTATATTCCTGGCTATATTTTGAAGTTCAGTAGGATGAACTTTTTTTTGTATGCATAAAGAAAGAAAATTTCTAAATTGTCTGTGTCCAAGTGATTGCATAAAATGGTAGGTCTGACTTGAAAGATACCAGTTCCTTATAGTAACATTTTTTTTGTAAGGTAGTTAAGTAGAAGATTTCTAAAAGATTTTAAGACTTCTTCTATTTGTATTTGTGTGTATGTAGATATGTGTATATACTCCTATCCGCACTTGCGTATGACTGTAGGAAAATTCTAAAAACTGAACTTGTGGATGATGTGTTTCAAGCATGCTGCATTGACTTAAGTTTTATTGAAAGAAGGCTTTTTWWAAAAAAAAAAATATTTCCCTAATCTGCAGGAAAAGAGCCCCTTGGGAAATCACTGTAAAATTCTAGTAGTCTTTTCTTAACTTGTATATACAAAAATGGATAAAAATTATCCCAAAGAATGCCTGCCTGCTTCTGCTAAATAACAGCTAATATCATTGCTTGAAATTTATTTTAATWTTTTTATCTTTTTAATAGTCATTTTGGTTTTTTACTTTACTGRCATTAACCTAAGAAAGCAGTTTTATTTGTGAAAGTTTTCATCATCTTAGAAAGCACAGCAGAAACTTAAATTGTAATCAGCATCTAGACAAATTAGTTTCAGCTGTTGTATATTTGGATTTCTGGAGTTTGTCTTCTCTCATTTCCTCTCCTTCCCCCAATACATACCTCACAAATTTACAAATATATCTTTGTTTTTCTGTTCATTAGATCAACATTTCCATTTTCTTCTTTTCTGAAACTTCAATTCTGCTTGCTGCCTTGGAAAGTCCTTTCTTTCAACACTTCTGTCCACTATAGGTCTTTCATCATTGCGACTTTCTCTTTCCCATTTATTTGCTTTCTTTAGCCCTTTGTTACCCACATCATTCCAATTAAATTGTTCCTCTTTAAGGCTTCACTAGCCTCCTCCAGGTCAGAAACAATATTACATGTAGTTTTATATAGATACAGATGTTTAAGAAATATTTTTTGAAGTGAATCTYTTCTTAAACTCTTACTACTGCATTTTGGTTCACTTCATGGAGAAKTGTAGCAAGCAATCCCTACAGGTAAAAAATTCAGTCCACAGGATCAGACTACAGCCAGTTGTTAAGCTGAAAAGCTGCTGGAAGTATGTAGTACAGCTGTCCGATCTTCAGAACTGGATCTCTCTCTACTGATGCGATTTGTTTGGTGCTGACCATTTCCTAATGCAGATGTGGCCTCTGCTGCCTTGACATCTGTTTCTTCTCTCAGTTTTGCTGTTTCGGTCTTACCTTGTTCCATACCTGAAATCTGGTTCAGTCCCAACCTAAGTGCAGGCCCTACCGATATTCAGCCTTCATCCAGCCTTGCTTACAACCAGGATTTCTAGCTGGGTACTACTCCCTTAAGCTGTGACAGAAATTGATCCGGTCTCCACTTTGACTATCACAGCTTCTCGTGTTGTGTTACTGCCAGGAAACTTTCCTTGTGAAGTAATTATCTGTTTATGGTCTTTCCCCTTATGTATAATGTCATTCTTCCTCTTTGAAACACTCTACACCATTGCATTCATCCAGCTATTCTCATAGTAATCTAATTTTTTTTGCAAACACTTTTCACTGATTACACCATCCGACCATTTCATCAACTGCTGTCTCTGCAACTGCTCCTATGTTGTGTGTCTTGTTTGTAGTAGTGTCATCACACCTAAGTGTAGCAGCATCTCTGTTTCAGAAATTTCTGAGAAGTTCAATTTCCTTCTTCAGTAAATATGCTGTATTTTGCTTCAATTGTACAATACAAGTTGTATTTTCGCTTTGCAATATCAGATTTTTTTTTTAATGTCCTTGTATGTAGCAAATGTTCATATATAACTGTTAAGGAAAGTCCATACACATATGTATGTRTGTTAAAAAGGTGTTTCCCTGGTAATGTAGTTTCAGAAGTGGGATCTCTGCTTAAGAACTAACATGTTTCAATATACTGCAACATTATTTTGACATCTTTTAATACAATGTAGTGAAATGGAAAAACTTGTTGCAGCTGTTACACTTGTAAACAAGTGCTTCTGCAATGAAACTTGTTTTCCTTTAAGCAGCTATTACAAGCTCAGCTGAGATACAGGAGAAGTCCTTGGCCTGTAAGAGCTACATGCACTTACAAAATTAGCTAGGGTTAGTTGCATTGCTATTTGTGTTTGGTATAATTAGTACTGTCTGTATACTACACAGTCTGATGGCACTTAGTTCAGTTGGACATTAGGATGAATTTCTTCACAGAAAGGGTGAAGGATTGATTAAACATAGTAATGGGCTGTCCAGGGAGATGGTGGGTGAGGTGTTTAAAGAAAGACTGAGTGTGGCATACAGTGCCATGGTCTAGTTGACATGGTGGTGTTTGGTCAAAGATGGACTAGGATGATCACAAAGATCTTTTCCAACCTAATTGATTCTGTGATTATGTAATCCCAAGTTTTTTCCAGGTGACTCATTTCTGGCTAAAAACTCTGCCTAATGACCATATGTTTGCTAATGCCATTTCATGTCTTTGGTTTGTAAGTTTTTCAGGGACACGGCTCTCTTCCTGATACACAAGAAGAGCTTGATTTGCATGCTTGCGAGCAATATGTGTTCACTGTGCTGCAGGATGCAAATTAGGACTATCAAAGCACACAATTTGAAATTTCTTGGAAGATAACCTTTACATCAAAATCAGGCAATGAATATGCCTGCAGAATAGAAAATTAACTCTGCTGTCTGAGGATAAGCTCTTCAATTATACTTGGGGAGGCTTTTTAAGTATATTTTCTACTTTGGGTGTACACTTGGAAATTAAAATGCAGAAGTTGCTTATCTCTCCCCAATGAAAGCACACACACCAAAAACATGCAGTTTCCATTACTTACCTATTTATCAAGAAAGATTTATTTTTTTGTTTTCTTCTTCTAATTTCAAAGGAAGAATGTTCAGAAAATACTTAACACACTAATTGAATTAGGAAAATCAAAGGGGTCACCTGTTGGCCATGTCTGATTTAGCTGTCTGTTTAGGTTATGTTTCAAGCTGGGTTTGTTTGTTGGGTTTTTTTTAGCAACATCTGTTCTAACTCTTGTTCTSTGTGTGTGTGTGGAGGGAGGATGTTTAAGGTATGTCAAGCCATTTGTTCAAAGCGGTTGTGCGGCAGCATCAAAGAAATTTGAAAGGCAATGCCAGCTTTTAAAAGAAAAAACATCCAAAGCCACAGAAAGCAAATATGTCGTGTCTTGATTTTTGGGGGATGTTTAATTAATACTCATGAGGATTTTTACTTTCAAATATCTCTAGGGGAAAACTTCATTACTATGAAATAAATAAATAATTTTACTGAATGTTAGTGAAAAAAAAACCAACTTTGTGTAGTGTTCTAAAGCAATTTCAAATAAAAAGCATTAACTTGAAATTAATGATTATTGACCTGTTAATGACAGCTTGTTATTAACAGTTGTTACCACCTGGCCATGCTGGCGATGGTGTTTCATGGTATTTGAAGAAGAGRTATGCAAAAAAGAGGAGTTTTAGGTATTCTTTAAGGAGACCTTAGTGTTAAAGGCTATCCAAGAGGGATCAGACATGTTGTGATGGAAGACCATATGGATAATTCTCGTAAGTTGGTCCTTTGTGAATTCTTTTCTGAGTGTTTTTGACAGTAGAAAGTTCAATGCATTCTGTTCTTAGTATTTTGCTTCTGAATATACAGATTTTTGGGGGGGTGGGTGTGTTGCTTTTTGTTTGGGTAATTTTTTTTGTTTGTTTGTTTGATCCTTTCTTTTCATTTGCGGCATCTGGATTTAGTTACTGGATTCTGCCTCAGCAGTGCAAAGGAGGAAGTATAAAATTTGGATTAATGCAAATGTTCTGTTGTCGAAAGATCAAAACATACATAAATAACTGTTTTAGTCTTGTCTGCTGAATGTACCAACTGTTGGTGTACCAGATGATTCATAGCTTTGCTGATATCTTTGCGGGTTTTTATGTTTTGATTTACATTTTAAAAGCTTAATTTTTTTTAAAAAAAATACAAATTGGTCAAGCRGAGTGTCAGTAGAAATGGAAGAATCCAGGTGAACAGAAGCCTTTCCGTGTAGCCTGTAGCTGAACACAATGTTTGCACAAATCCATAAAGTTCATTTAAAAAAATATATTCCTTTAGAGTGACAAGATTTTGTATTGCTTATGTTAGTTTTATTGTTGCACACTTCAAAACATTTATTCTTGATACCACTCTTTCCCAGCACTTTTGTGCTCTGTGATAATTAATTATGCCTTCTGTAGTGAACAACTGACTTGAAATTATTGAAACCTGTCTTACAATAATCTTTTTCTGTCTTTTTCCAAAAATAGATAATATACCTGAGGGAATCTGCAGAAGATGTGTACAGGCTTATATTGTCAGGAAGTGTTTCATATCTTCCTTTCAGGTAAATAACAAATTGATAGAACTTTCTGTACTTTGATATTTTGAAGAAGAATGTAACATGATTCAGGACTAATTTTTGCTGTGGATTTGTTTTGTTTTGTTTTGGGTTTTTTTGGTTTTGTTTTACTTTGGGTTTTTTTGAGGGTGGTTGGTTTTTGTTGGGTTTCTTTTGTTTGGTTTTGGGGTTTTGGGGGGGGTTTTGGGGGGGTTTTGTTGGTTGGTTGGTTGGTTTTTTTTGCTTGGTTTTTTGGGGCAGGTAGGGTTGGGTTTTCTTGTGCTGATTTTTTTTCTTGGGACACACTCACTGTTTGAGCTAAGTATTTAGTGAATTAGAGGTGTTACCAGCTGGTATTGAAGTGTGCTGGCAGAAGGTGAAAGAACCACACGTTTTGTATCCACTTACTGATTTTTTTGATCTACATTGCTTCTCACTTCCCAGTCTGATTTTGTGGCAGTAGCTGATAGTTAAACATAGCAAAGTATCTGTCATTTACCACAAAGGCTTGTAATACTTAGTACTATTCTTTATGCACAAGATAGTATTTGCAGATTGCTGCACACATTTGACAAGTGGGAASTTGTCATCAGTGCATTCCAGGAACCTTCTGCATTGCCTGTGTCCTATTGTGCTATCCCTCCTACATATATCAGAGTGGCTGCAGTTCCCTGTGAGGACCGTGCCTGAGAACATGAGGCTGCTTCTGTCAGTGGAAGGCTTTATCCATTTGTTCTTTCTTGTCAGGTGGTATAAGAGACACCAATAGTACAATGTTACCTTTGTGTCCTTTCTTTTACTTGAATGAGGTTCTGTTATTTCTATCTCTTGCTAGCTTCTGCCCAACTCACTTTTCACACTGATTCATAAGGAAGGAAAAGATAAAAAAAATATTAGAGACAGCCATCCTTGTTCTTCAAAAGTTCTTCCTCTTCTCAGTGGAAATTTGAGCGTTCTGCCAAGGCATAATATTCTCTGATGTAGACTCAGATTAATTAATTTATTTACTTGACTGTAGTATTCTCATAGAATGCTTACACTGAGGTGCTTATGAAATTTGATAATGGTCRCATACTAAGAACATGCAGTTCCTAAATCAAAAGAATTTAAAATATAGTAATTGAAAGAAGGGGTTTTAATGAAACCAGTTTCTCCTCTTGTTTAAGCATAAACTATTAACGCATCTTAAGGAAAATATTTTATTATATCTACTCAAATGTTTATCCTAACAGTTTTAGTAAGAAGATGCTGTTCACATATACAAAAAAAAACACATGCACAGTCTCCTCCTTCTTGTAAATGGAGCAGTGTCTTAAAATTTTACTTTTTTTCAAAATGTACTTTGGGAGAAAGTATTCAAAGAATGAGTGTTAATGTGTGATACTTTTTTTGGGAATTAGCTTTTGTGTTGTGTGTTCTTTGCTGATGAACACCAAAATGTGCCAGTTTCAATGTTCATGTCAGAAATTGAACGTATCAGCTTTACCAAAACTGTAGCTGGAGTAATCACACTATTATATCTATTAATATAACTTATGTTTTGTTATTCTTGTAAAAGTCAAGGTATGGAAAATGAAGTAATCACTTGATATAATGATTTCACTATAATAATAATTATCTTGTAATTTTTAAAGGTGTTTTAGAGAAGTGTCTTCAATTGCTTTCACTTGGATTAAAATACTGTTTTGGTCATCATATACATCAATTACACATTACATCAATATTGTAATTACTGTTTTGGTCATCATATCTTATAGGGATGCTTCCTGTGGTACTTGCAGTTTTCATCTGACATTACTGGACTGTTTTCATGCAATACACAAGGTCAGTAAATTAATATTTTTTATATTGCAACAAGTTAGCTAAGTGTCTATCAGAAAAAGACTAGGAAGTTAGGATCCAATTAGAGCTGTGAAGTAGCCGAATTTCTGATTGTTGCTTAGTCTTCTGTGCATTATGCCATGTAACTAAAGTAGATAGAACATCCATAGGACTCAACCAATACCTTATGTAATCGCCTGATGAGGATGTTAAAAAGAGAATTTTGAGTTTTACTTACGTAATCTTTTCAGACAGTAATTCATGTCTAATCCCTAAGAGGTGAGTGCTAGGTTTATTGCATGCCCCCTGGTGTTACATATTGGGCTGAACACAGCCTTGGAAAGTGGTTTTGAATGGCTTTGTTACACATTTTCAGCATTTGCACCATACACAAACGATCTCAAGTTTTGCTTTAGTCATAGAAATAGTGCAAATGTTAGGCGATATGTGCTTATTTCTTCAACTGCAGATTATCATAATCTAGTGTTTTAKAGCAATATAGTGGTGAAGTACTGTGGCACTGAGGGATGCCACCTTCTTTTTAGTCTGTAGGAGTAGTGAATTCTGCAGCTCTCCAACATACTACTGTCTTTTGTATTACGGGTGTCTCTACCAAATACTGATGTTTTTACTGGTTAAATCAGTTCCTTGAGGATTACTGATTTTTTAACTTTTTTGGGTGTTTTGAAATTGGCTGCATGTGTGCCAAGATGGGTGCATTGTTTTCTTGCTGGTGAAGAAAAGTTTACATAGTGAAAGAGAAAATTAGAATGTACTACTTTTAAATATCTGGAGGTAGGGAATTTATCTGTGTTTGTGCTTCCTCATTTAACAAGTGGATAAACTATTAGTTACCCACATTAYTATATTTTTTATACTGTATTAAGTATTATGGTTGTGGCTAATTATGGGACATCATATATTCATACTYATATCTGCTTAGGACTTTGTGACTGCAAATAATTTGAAATCAGTGAAGATACTAGCAAGTAGCATTTATGCACACGAAAAGATTGTAGTCCTTGAATGTGGTCTTTCAAATCTACTCATAGCTTCAATAGATGCTTTTTGCCAGTTATTTTCCTTTTCCTTTTTTATTTTGTGCACCTAGCAGTAATGAAAGACCAAATGCTTCAGTAATCTGGGATTTTTGTACTGATTCAATAAAAACAAAAAAAAAAGTTGATTTACTCATCTAATTTCACCTACATTGAAATTTACAAATCTCGTTTGAATCAAAACTGAGTTGATCTGTATTTCTTAAATAATATGAAGAAATGTCTCTAGAAGAGTAGAGTGTGTATTAAGGGATTTAATGTAACCAAAAAGAGTGATAAGCTGTCCTCACTTAAGAGGCATCTTTGTTTAAAACTATGTTCTCAATTTTAGGCTTTGCAGTATGGTTTCCTGGATTTTARTACGTTTGATGTAAATGAATATGAGCATTATGAAGTAAGTGTTCGGTATCAATCTTTTGATTTGTTTGCCATTATTAATGCTAAAATAATCATTTATGATTTGTGCTATTCTTTTGTAGTATTAAGTTCAATTTCTGTTTTGTTTCTTTAAGCTATGATAGTTAAATAAAAGTGCATGGTCAAAGAATATTAGAATTCAGATTTAAGCATGATTATGCTCAAACATCAGTGAAGCAGAAACCAAAATAGAAATAAATGGAGATTTCCATTATTACTAAAACCCTGGACATTGTTGAGCAGTCTTAATGAAAAACTAGAGGACATATAAGTCCAAGTCTAACTGAAAGCTGAAGAACAATCAAAGTATTTGAGAACCCAGGCAGGGATACAATAATACCCTTCRAAGTAAGGAAGGAAACAGGGCTCGGAAACTCCCAAGTGCATAATGTTTATTTTGGGACATAGGAAATTATTGTGACAATGAAGGACTGCGACTCTTGACTATATGCAGTCCCAGAAATGCAAAGCTGTCATATCTGTAAAATGAAAATTAATTGTTCCTAAAACCTAAAAAATCATTGATTATTTGTGAACAGAGGTAAGAGAAAGGTCATAATTTAGAAACCTATGCAAAATAAAAAAAATAGAAGTTACACTTCATCTGAAGGACATCATTTGAGTTGTTCTAAAACTCTGAGGTAGAAGGACAGGAACACAAGCAAGAAAAGTGAGGTTGAGAGCGTCTGTCATCCTCATGATGTAAAAGAAAGCAGGTAACTAAGACAGCTTCCTTTGACAAAAATTGTGCATCAATTCTATCTAGGATGTATTTTGAAACAATAAGGAAAAGCCTGAAAATACAGGGATAATGATAAACCAAGCATTTTCTCTTGACAGAGAGCAGAAAATGGAGATTTTAACTGGATAATACCAAACAAATTCATTGCCTTCAGTGGACCTCATTCAAGAAGTAAAATTGAAAATGGTATGCTTAAAAAAGGAGGTGGGGGACACAAGCCCACTGCTTTCTTAGTTGATTGTTATCAGTAAGGACAAGCTTTAAAAATTGTTCCTCAAACAGTGTGTTTTTTCCTTGGCTCTTTTACTTTCATAAGAATTCTGCCAGTAAAATTCTAATGCTTGGTTTAATTGTATCTGACCTAGGTGATTGTGTTTAAATTCCGTTTTCAGTTAGTTTCTTTATGTTGTCTCTGTTTGGAAAGCATTTTCATATCTTGTTTTTTGGTCTTTTTTTTTTTGTTTCTGCAGTTTGAGCCTTACTGTCTTTTTTTGTACTTCTGTTCTCAAATAGGGTATCCCCACCATGCTCCAGAGGCTTATTTCCAATACTTCAGGCAACATAAAGTCACCACTATAATACGCCTCAACAAAAAACTGTATGATGCCAAACGATTTACAAAGGCTGGATTTAAGCATTTTGATCTCTTCTTTGCTGATGGAAGCACACCTAATAATACTATAGTTAAAAACTTTCTAAATATTTGTGAAAATGCTGAAGGTGTAATAGCTGTTCATTGCAAAGGTATGGTGTAAAAAAGTGTATGTTACAAGTGATGTTTATAATTATAGTTCCTGAGGTATTTTGCAGTATAATTCTACTGTATCTACTATTAACATCTCTGCGAAACTGCAACTTTTCCATACAAATTATTTCTATTTCACGACTGGYTCTGTTCAGCTCTTGATCTTCTGATTTTTTTAAGTTTCAGTAAAATCTTCCCAGCCGTTCCCAATATGAGACTAGAGAAAGTGAGATTTCCAATATTAATAGCTCTTTCTGCTAGAAAGTGTTAGCACTTTCAAGGGATGTTATGGGCAGGCATTTGAAGTCCTGTCAAGTTCTCTCTGAAAATACATGTTTAAATATACTAAGTCATAAACTTCTGAAAACCGCACGGCTTTTTGAGGAGGTTTCTCAAAATATATTTGTTCTTCTACAAGCACCAAAATCTTCACCCCTCAGAAACTCATTTTATTAGTTTGGGCATGCTCTGAATATCCGTTCCTTCTGAATCAGACTGCTGAGATTTTCAGAGCATGTCCAGTGCAGCTAGTACAGTGATTCAGTTTTCTGTGACTCTAGAGGCACATCTTTAAAAATCTATCAGACATTTCTTCTCCACAACTTTGGATCACTAGTGTACCTGATAATGCTCTGATTGAAGGAGGAGGGCCTTTTATGAACCTATTTACTTTGGACCTGCAAAGGCTTAATTTCTGTTCCTGGATCTGCCAACCATTTGCTGCATTTTACAGAATTATACTGGAGAGTGAAAGTGTTGCCTTTTTCAACCTAGAAATGAAACTTGAAATTATTTTAGTATCAGAGATTATATAAAAGTGAGTCTTTATTGGAGCTCCATGGGCAGTCGTGAAAGAATATCCACAAAAGCCCATCTCCACAGGGGTGAACACAGTTTTGTAGGTTTTAGGAAATTAGCATAGTTAATAAAAAGCACCAATTAGGAAGACAAGTGGTGATGTAATTTCCCCCAGGTCAAGCCCCTTCTCTAGAGTTTCCTACCCTGAGTACTACYGTACTTGTTTATGAAAACATGTCTTGAAGACGTTGTTCTCAACCTTAGTTCCAAGGAAGAACCAAGACACRGACCTTGTGCCCTCTGGGTCTTGGAGCTCTGGAATGTGTTTTGTCTTCTAGCTGGGGAAAAGGGTAGGGAAAAGTACTGGGAAGGTTACAAATATATAAAAGGAAAAAATCACTCTGGCATCAAAAGAATTATCAAAACCAGTATCTTGACTGTGAGGAAACAAGTGCATACACTTACTCTTCACTATGGTGATAAATTCAGGCATATAACTTAGTTGGTTATGCCAGAATATTAAGTAYAATTGATACAAGTGCTTTGTTTTCACTTAATTTAAGATGTTCTTGGATAGATGTTGTCCTAATGGTGTCTTGATCAYCTTTATGTTCCTCAGCCTGCTCTTACTCTTGAGGAAGAGTAGAATGTTGTAGCTTGTCCCTAAAGCTGTGCAAGTCATGGAAAGYGCTGTGTAGTTGTCTTGGCTGTTGTGTTAAACAGAAGATTTTACAGGGGTTTTGATCGGTCAGTTGTTAAGTGAGAGAAGGTGATGTATGATTTGTATTTACAGCAAGTGATTGAGGAGAGACACCACTTAGCTGGAGCTGTCCACCTTTGCTTCCCAAGATAAACAGAACTATTTTGAGGGCCATTACAAATAAGGTTCCTCATTCTGGATTACTTTTTGCCTRTTCTAACTAGTGTCCAGATTTGCTTATTGCAAGATTTGCCTTTTCCTTGGGAATTAAAGAGATTAGTTAGAGGAGGGGCTGGAAGAACTGCAGGTTTCAGTGCAGTGTGTGATCAGTTTGCAAGAAKATGCTGTGAAAATTCGGATAAAAAGAGCCAGCTGTTTTATCCCAGGCATAAGAACATTCTATACCTTCATACATATCCATGCATACATAGGTAAATAAAGATACCTAAGCTTACAGATATTTGTAAAGTTGCTGGCTTTGGAAAGTTATCTCACTCAAAAAGACACGAACAGTGTGTTAGTAACCTTGTGTATGAAAAAAAGGATTGAAAGGTAGGTTTCCCTTACCAAATTTGGTAAGTACAGTTTTGTTTAGATAAATTAGGCAGGTAACTACTTGTCCAAGTAATAATGTCTGTAGTTACAGTAAATTCTGGATGAAGATGGATACATAAAAGAAACCATTCTTTTATCTTACACAGCTGGTCTTGGACGAACTGGCACACTTATTGCCTGTTACATCATGAAGCATTATCGGATGACAGCTGCTGAAACTATTGCCTGGATCAGAATAAATAGACCTGGTTCTGTGATTGGGCCACAACAGCATTTCCTGGTGGAGTAAGTAGACTGGCTATAAATTATTGTCAAAAACAAATCTAGATGTCATTTTCTTCTTCTTCTRTTGTGCACTTAACAATCTTCAGTGTTAATTTGTTGTGTTTTGGGCCTTTTTTTCCATGTTATGATAGCAAACAGGCAGAACTTTGGAAAGAAGGGGATATTTTCCGGGCAAAGTTGAAACGAAACCATAAAATTGCTGTAACAAGAATTCTGTCAGGAGTAGATGATATTTCAATTAATAACACAAGAAACAGGAGAAGCATCCAAAAGGACATTGAACTGGTAACCCTCCAAATATTGTGCTCTTGTAAAAGTTAAAACTGTTGAGAACCTCTCAGGTTTTGAAMAAACCTGTGTGTACACTAAAACTTTGTTAATCAGATTTTTTTTCTGTCCACCCTTTTTGTATAAAGGGATATGCAAGGGGTGGGGGAGGGGAAGTATGGATGACAATTATCAAAAATGGAGTTCAGAACACAGGTGAAGTACAAGCATCATCATGCTTTAGTCTTTTGTAATTAGGTCAATAATAGAAAAAGAACTCACAATCTGCAGTCAAAAACACTGATTTCATTTTGGATTGTCTGTTGCTTCACTGTGTGTATTTGAAGAGAAGGGGTGAAAGGGTTTTYTTCACTCATTTTAGTTTCTAAATAATTGCAACTTCTGTGATACCTTTGCATGGTGCTTTTTTAAAAAGACTGTACTGCTGTTTGAAAAATGCAAGTGAAGAAGGGAAATGCTGTATTTAGTGAAGATTATACTGTACCTAAGCAAGGATTTGATAATATGTTGTTTCCACTATTTTAAAAGTAGACAATATTCTGATGCATGTAATTCATGACACCACTTAATGGTTTACAGCTTCAAAAGCAGCAAGCAGGAAACTGGAAGGAACAAAATTGTATTTATGCAAGTGAATTTCCTTTGAGTTTATCCTGTTGACATAATTCTAATCTTAAACTTTAAGATAAGGTTACTGTTAAATATCAAACCATCTATATTTTAATCTTGGTTTATCCCTTTCCCCTTTCCACTATCCAGTACAGTGATGATGATGAAACAAACTGTTTAACACAAGGGGATAAACTTCGCGCTCTGAAAAGCAGAAGGCAAACTAAAGCTCAAACTCCATCACAGCTAGAGTAAGTCAATTTCTGAATACATAAAATCCTGAAAACACTTTTATGCTCTTCATGCATAATTCCTGTTGCCCCAAATRTTTGTTACCAAGGTTGTTTTTTACTCCCTTAAAACAAACATGAGATTCACCATTTCTCTGAAGGCTTGGTGAGTGCTGAGGAAGTGGGAGAACTTGGTTAAAGAAMATGAGTGAATTTATCATTTTCTGCATAGTTTTTGATGTTGATATTTTGCCCTCTACAAGCTCCTRTAGTACTTCTGAATGCTTTAGTTTTGGTTTAATCACAAGCATTCTCTTGTCCTTCCTGTGCTAGTATAAAAATGAAAGAATATGACTCTGCATAGTTTTGTTTGATTGGGTTAAATAAGGTTCATGCTGGTGTTTGAAGTAAAGTCAGCTACCTAAAAAGAGTTGAAAGAAGGGGTTTTCCCTTTGTTTCACTTTCTCTTCCCTGGAGAAGAACTTTTCCTAAATCCTGTGGGCTTTGTGATAATGTCTGGTGCATCTGGAAGGCAGAGTAGTCACTGTTTCAGTCAAATTTAAAGAAGTGCATTTCTGTCAGAGAACCTGGTAGTCTCCTTGTTTTAGACAAGTCTTAAAACATAACYTGTAAAAGAAAGTTTGCATCTGTTGTATAATCTGTAGGTACAAAAACTTACAGTCTGCCATCAAATAAACTGCAAGAGAATACAAGGCTTGCAAAACTTAGCTGGATCTCATTTGATTGCTAGGAAAGAAATGGTGTGCCCCCTGGGTGTCAGATTTTTGCAAATGACACAGCACCAAAGTAATAGACCACAGTCAACTTGACTTTTATTGTGTTGCCCTTCTGTAAAAGATGATGCTGCTACCTGCTGACRTTTTTTTTTCTTCTTTTTTAAGATCACCACTGACACCAGATTTTTAAAAAAACTGAGAAGTATGTAGTAAAAATGTGCTGAAGGTAAAGGAATATGTCTTTGGAAACCTTCACACATTGCTACGTATGATATCTGCTTTTGTTTTAAAATACTCTCTTTTGTCCACGCTTATCATTTACACAGGCAGCCATATAAGAAACAACATATTTGGAACAAAGCCTGTGCCCAGCTGCCATTTAAAAAATGCCAAAACACATCACCTCATTTACCTCCTACAGCACAATAAAAAACAACTACCTTACAGATTAGGTTCCAAGGCACAGAAGTGCTTTAGTTGTCACTTATTATACGTTCCATACAATGAATGTAGACTGTGTGATAACCTATTCAGAGCCATTGCCTCAAAATCTTCTTAACAGAAGACCTGTCAATTATTAAAATATTATTCTATTCATGCAATGTTCTGCAACATGCCTTCTCTAATTAAAATTAGTTTGCTTGYACTTGGGTAGAATTAAAATAATCAACCTGGAGCTTGTAGCTGGTTTTTATACTGTGCATTTTGGCTCAAGGAGTTTCAATTTACCTCTTTCTGTTTCCCTGAGTAATTTTTATGGTTTGCAACTTGTACTGGAATAATTCATGCATTCTTTATGTTACTGTTGTTTTATCACAAGGAATATATGGCTGCCTTACATGAGTCAGAAGTTTCTTCTACCTCAAGAGGTGTCAGTCTCATTTCTTTTTTGCTTAGTCTATGTTAAAATAGTTAGTCTTGAAGTGAATTTGATTACTTTTATCTAAGGAAACAAACAGAAGCTGCTAAATCTTCTATGTAGT